CACACATACACACAATTAGGAGTGGGCGATATGATCAAAATTTTATATCACGGTATTTTCAACATTTTCACCGTTTTCACGGTATTTGACGGTATTTTTCTTTTCATCACAGCTCAGCTGATAATAAAATGTACAAACCCTGCTCATACATGTCAACTTGTACAGATTGTAAGTCATAAGGATTTAATGTCATTTTGCAGGTGTACGGGTGTATAGAGCAATCTCACGAATCTTTTCAAGTCTTACAGATTTTTTCAAAACCTGATTTTCAAATTTATCTAACATGTCAGAGCCTATAGGATGATTTAAAAAAACAATAAACAACATAAAACAGCCATCTTTTAACCTGTTCTGCTGCTAGAAATAAGTTTTGAACTTTTTCCACTCTCCTCTCCTCAGCGGGCGCTTTCATGTCCCCCCCCCCCGGCCGTGAGTTGTACGGATTTTTGAGGCTTTTTATACAAGTAAACGTCCGAAGAGGTTGACATGTATGCCTGCTTATTGACTTTTTTCTTTTACTGTACCTCTGTCGGTGTCTCTGTTTCCTTCCTCTGTCTGTTCTTCTCTGACTGGTGGTTGGAGACAGTAGTCACGCATTTTGGTCCAGTCGTGAAGGAGGAGGGTTAAGAAAAGATTATGATCGGGTTTATTTTATGTTATTTATTAAAGCTTATCAGCACGACTCACCTTGCACACCAGTCAATTCTAACTCTACTACAAACTACTTCCTGCGGGCTTTTCACAAAAGAAGCACGTTAAGTTTCCATCAGCATAACGTCTCCATATTAACTAACTGTGTTAAATCTAACTGTGCACGTCACTGAAGAGGTGTTTACTACATTCAGCGACGGCGAAAACGGAATGTTTTTTTAAACGTCAGTCAATATAAGCAGCGGAATCGCCACCCGCGGCTGCAACTAGCTGCTCCAAACATTAGCATGCTAACACACATAGCGGTGCAGCAAGGAAAAATGTCTCCCGGGAAACAACAGTTCACTGGCAGCCGCGATGAAACGTTCCGCTATTTAAACCGGAATGTCCGGTATTCAAAAAATTCATATCATAACAAAAATAAAAACCGGTATTCGGTACAAAACGGTATACCGCCCAGCACTACACACAATAACTTTAATGTAATAGATATCTGCATCCACTGGATGCTGTGTTTGGAATAACCTGCTTTGTTTTAAGGTGGTAAAAGAAATTGTATTTATTCCTTTCTACACACTTTGCAGATTATTTTTTCTGCACTCCATGTGTTTAATCTGTGCGCGCTCCGGCGGGGTGACATAATCATCCCGTTTATGCTTTACTTTTTTTTTTTGGAAAGACAGTCTAACTGTCACCCTTTCCCACAGCGCTTCCCCGCTGTACAAGGAGACAGTAAAGGCTGAGTTATAGTCGCACTTTGGAACGCGCACGCATTCGGCCGTGCATCATCGCGCTATGACTGCAGGAGAAACCAGGTCCAGACTCAGCAAGTTTTTGTGCGTCCTGGAGCACTACTTCACCTGCACTGACATCGCCTCACTGCGCCATGTGCCATGGTGCGCGCTCCTCCCGCAGCAGGCAGTGTGGCCGGTCAGGAGCACGCGCCGTCACGTAAACATGTAAACAATTCGGCGTTCGTTCTCGCCCACCCGAACCAGTTTATGATAATTCGCCGTTATGTTCCCCCCCCCCCCTCTTCATTTGCGCTCTCAGCCATGCTGCTTCCCGCTTCCTCTGTTTTGACTTCAGCTGGTGACATCATCAAAAAGAATTGCGCGGTTGCCGGTAGACTACAGATCTCTATCATAGGACAAATTTATATAGTTTCTACCGTATATCGTTCATATCGCACATTCCTACTTCATTATTGAAAGCTCATGTTTGTGTGGAACATGACCAGATCCATCAGTGATTTATAACCAGCCAGAGGGAGCTTAATGACAGACTGGGCTTTGTGGTCATTTCACTGAACTGTTTTATGAAAAAAGCCCAGTAACATATTGCTGTAATATTAAAACACAGGTAGGTCTTGATTCAATTTAATCTACTTAAAAAAACATACAAAGCACACAAAATATATCAAGGTTTGTTTTCAAAGCCACATCTGTAGGGATTGACTCCCATCTTATTGTTTAACCATGTAAAGCTGGAAGCATTTCCTGTAACGAGGACAAGAGATCAAAGTCCATATTCTATCAGACAGGCCTTGATGCAACCTTAGAAACACAAACACCTATGTCTACAAAGATGATTTAACTGAAGTTAAGTCCAAGCTCCTGGAAAACACTGAGCAGGTGCAAAAACAGCTTTGAAATCACTCCCTGCTGAAAGCTACAGGGAATTCAGCACAAACACAGAACCAGTGTGGGCCTGGTGTTAGCTCTCTGCCCAAAGGGTTAACAATACAACAGAGTGACGCTGTAAGGTGAGGTAACCAGATACTGCCTGACTGGCTGTAACCAGGAGCAACAATCCAGCACTCCTTGAACAGGGAGAGCATACAAGGAAAACAGCCATTCAGACAACTCCTCTTGGCTTTCAGGCACAGGAGACGAGAGAACAGAGCGAGAGAAGCAGCTGCCTATGAGAGGACGGACAGCTGAACATGACAAAGAGCAGCTAAATACTGAGCCCTCTTTAATGCCCAACCTGAAGAGCTGCCTGCTCAATGGAACAGTGCCATCAGTTGTGCGGGTGGCATTATTACATATTAACATTTCTGACACCCAGATGACTCAACTGCATAGTGGAAATTCAGAAGGTGGAGAGAACATGACAGTTTTAGATTTATGCAGAAAGTTGTGGGTGGGAATCATGAGATAGCTTAACTGCTACTCCACCTTTTTTATAATGGCGACATCTGACTACATGCAGTTCTGCAACACCGTTTACAGCAGGTCCAGAACTTCATTATACCTTAGCACACAAGCAGAAACATGGTCAGAAAGAAGAATACACCTGTGACACTGGAATAAAGATACTCCCACTGTTCAAACATAATGGGTTTGCTTTTGAGTCAGTCATAACAAAGGTATGGGAGGATGACACAATATACTGAACAACAACTTCTGTAGACTGTTTTATTCCTCTACTGTTAAGCAGGTTTACCTATAATAACTTAAGCAAATGTCCTGATGCATCTCAGTAATCCAGGTAGAAAAATCAAAAAGAAAAAATAAGCAGGTCCTCTGGACAGGTTCTTCTTTAATGAAACGTTTGTCTCTCCTCCAAGAAACTTCTTCAGTCTGAAGAGTTTCAGTTATAAGCACTGCCTCCACATGGTGGACAAACAGGTTGGTCACATGCAAACATCAGCCAAACAATAGGTCGTTAGTGTCTTGATTGGCTCTATTGCTCATAGAGGGTCATGTGCCCCATCACCTGACTTATCATTGGGGCCCTGATTCACACCTTTTGCTCACAGGGGGCTGAGTCATACTTGTAACAACAGCGTTGTAGGAAGAGGACAACTGGACACGAAGGCCCCCACCTCTGTTTAATGATGGATGGTTTTTCTTCACAAAAATGGCTTCCTATACTCCTCTCAAACCAGCGTTCCTCTCTATGTTCTCATCCGTGATAGAGAGGAAAACACAGAAGAAAACTGGAGACATTCTAATTCTCAATAATTAGTTTTACTTGTACATTATTTTACTAATACACATGAGTAAACATTCAATATGTAACACATTGACAAAGACGTAGTTGATGTTTCTCATGTCTGCAAAATTTAGAGAAAAAAAGGCAGCCACTGTCATCTTCAAAAGTAAGCAACTCAGGCTAAAATTCTTCTAGATGTCAATTGTGCCTAGGATAAAGAAATAAATTGGTTATAATGCATATTTTTGTGTATGTTCAGTATCCTTGGTTTTCATTTTAGCTTAAGTGAAATTACAAAGTTATCAAATTTATTTAGCAATAGATGCCAAATGCAATAAACTCAGATTATTGTGAATGGTTAGTTTTAGACTAATAAATCCCATCTATTGATCAGCTTTTGCTCATTTGTGGTTGGACTGTGATGGCAACGAGTCCAGGAAGGAAACCCTTCACTTGGTTGCCCCAAGTCAAAGCTCGGTGCCACCCATCAGACAAACTTAATTTTAGTTGCTTGTATTCTCTATCTTTCTATTGTGATCTACAGGGGTTAGACAATGAAACTGAACCACCTGGTTTTAGACCATAACATCCCTTTCAGACAGCTTCCTCTTGCGTCCACAGTTAATCCTGTTGGATGTKGTTGGTCCTTCTTGGGGGTATGCTGACATTACCCTGGATACCGTGGCTCTTGATAAATCACAAAGACTTGCTGTCTTGTCCTCGTTTGAACTCTGGTATGTCACCCATAATGTTGTGTGCATTGCAATATTTTGAGCAAAACTGTGCTCTTACCCTGCTAATTGAACCTTCACACTCTGCTCTTACTGGTGCAATGTGCAGTTAATGAAGACTGGTCCAATTTAACCATGAAACCTCCCACACTAAAATGACAGGTGTTTCACTTTCATTGTCCAACCCCTGTATATCTCATAAGAGAAGGTAAGGGCTGGGTGATATGGCTGAAAAATGGATCACAATATCAGCGTTTCATATCAGTCAATACTTATAATTATTGATTTGCTTGTTTTACCTATTTGAAATTTTCTCAAGCTGTTGCACTCAATTTCTCCTTTCACTCCACGTTGTTCTTTTATACTTTGAAGCAGTTCTAAGGCACAGTGGCAAAACATGAAACTGCTACTGCGCATGTTACTCAACAGGTTGTTGCTAGCTTACCAAACAGTGAGTTGGTTGATGCCACCAACCTTAGCTGGGCCATGAGAGGTTTAGCAGCTTAAGTCTTTCCTCTGCCTACGTCTCCCAGGATGCTGTGCAGTTCTGGATCATTTTAGTGAATTTATTAGCATTCTATCAGACGTATTTTCTATTGATATTGATCACGTGTTTATTGTATAATATATCATAATAGTTTTATAGCCCGGCTTTACCTTCCAGCTCAGCTTCTTCACCACAACAAACCACCCTCACCACCCTACACCCTCATTACTGTAAACAAGACCCTTGATCCATCACCCCATTTTCATCCTGCCATAACCTGGAAACAAGACTACCAGATATTTAAACTTGAGGCAAAAACTCTCACCTGACCAGGAGCGGACTCATCCCAGCCGCTTCGCATTCTGCTGCAAACCGCTCCATGAAATTATTAATATCAAACGTTTCCATAACTCAACGTTTTTTTCCTGCTCTCATTTGGACAGTCATGTCAAAAATGACTAAACAAACTGAAAATAAATAAATAAATAAATAAATAATTAAAGCTCTTCCATTTGTACTGGACATGGATCCTGAACTAAAACGGTGTTGTCTCCAAAAATCATATTTCAAGTAGAAACAGCCTCAAATGTTCCAAATACTAATATGAACAGCTAACTGATGTAGTGAAGGACATGAAAACTAACAAGGTCCAGACTGGTCCAGATGATCAATCCCACATAAATGATTCATCCTATAAGAACACCTTTGAAGTGCTGCAAAAGTGGGTGTCTTCAAATATGACTAAAATCCAGGTTCTTTAAAGCAATTAATACTCTGGAGGGAACTTGTATTTTAGGAGTGACCCACAGGAATAAAAGACAGCTAATAGAAACTGGGACTACTCTGTGTCTCACTCCCACTGTGTGTCCTCATTAAGTTGTACAGCCTTTTTTATTTTGGGGGACAGTGGCTTCTCTTTTTGATCCAGTTATGCAACAAGCTGAGCATGTGTTTGTAATGTGAGAATGTGTTATATTCTCAGGGATAGTTGAGCCAGTAAACGCAAACACCTTCTCTCTGATAAAAGTTCACTGCAGAACTTGAAGAACATGTTCCTACTAAGGCCTCCAAAGCACGCTGTTGTAAATTTAATGAGGGTGCATGGAGTGTAACATTTCCTCTAAACCCCTCCTCTCATTTCCTGCATGCAAAGACTTAAGTCCAATTCCACTCCAATGCTAAGGAACGCACTAAGCACATATACACCCCTCGCTTCCATTCCTGTCAGAGTTAAAGAGCGTATGATGCTTTAGAAAGCCGCTCAGAGTTGGGCAGGCTTCTTCTTGTAGTATTCAGAGCTGGCCTCAGATCAAAGGTCCATTGATGCCCAGGCCCCGGTCTTTGAGAAAACACTCCAGGCAGTTTGCCTAGCATAAACCGGCACTCATCCTCCATCCCCCTCCAACTGATTTGTTCTTGTACAGATCATTGGGAGGGGGTCCTCCTGCTCCAAACTCAAATGAACAACATGTTCAAAAATTGCTGGCCTCAGATCTCAGGTCACCAGAGGCGATGCAGGAAGTCAATCATTTGCCAGCACTTGACTTGTTAGTTTAGTTAAGAACTGTACACTGAGAGATAAGTGTTCTTCACTGAATAACAAAGAGGCACACAGAGCTGAAAGCCCGATTTGTTTCAGAAAACAAAGGTTCCCTTTAACTAACAGCATAATTGTTCACTATTCTCCCTGAATGATTTGGAGTGCTACACAAAATGAACTTGCCGGGGCCAAGAATGACAATTACTGATCTGCACTTTGAGACCGGAACACAATCCAAATTCCACCACTGTCAGTTTTGATCTCAACCTGTCTGTCTTAAGTGGAGGCTCAGCTCAACTCAAAGATCCAAATTCCCATGAACCTTAACATCCTAGGTGCATTATTTGTTGTCTGAAAATTGTTTAATAAAACAGCAAGTATGGACTGAGGAACATGCTGCAACTTATGCCCTTTCACATTCCTGTCATAGTCTAACCAGAGAGTCTTAGCTTCGATGTAAAGCTCACAATATTATCTTTAAGCATTTTTTACAGCTTCACAGCGACATGCTCGAATACACGCAAAGAATGACTATAAGACTGAGAAATACGAGTGTGTCGAGGCAGCACAGCCATTTTGTTGAACTAAACTTGGGGAAAGAAAGCTGAGCAACAGGTGAACCTTGCTTTAGTCAGCACAAAAAAATGAACCTGTGGTCAAAGTATGAGGTAAGGCAGTGACAAACAGATGTAAGGTCAGGATAAATACACGTGTTCCCAGCTCAGAGGTGAGGTGAGCAGACACACACCTGTCTGACCACACCTGTATGTGTGCGTGTCCTCCCTATAGGTTGAGGTTACACAAGACTACAAAAACACAGTTGACTAAGCTCAGACACATGAAACTGAAATATAAGAATAAGGCTATGAATTTATAGGAGAGTTGTAAATAGTAAGCAAGTTTTTCTTTTAAACAGCGTGAACTTAACTAAAACAAGACGAGCTTCAGGTAGATGTTTACTACACAAGTCCGGGTGAGGCTTTCTTAAAGCACATTCTTATCAATTTAAAAGTATAATAAAAAATAAAGTATATGTAACTTAATTTTGTCAATTATAGTTTAATACGGTGAAAGTACACCTATTTTACACGATACTGTTAGAGTGAAAGTACACAGGTTAGTGCTAACAACAGCAAACGTTCTCCGTATAAAGACAGCTCACGAAGCTTATTTCAGCTTAAACAAGTCCATAACTTATCAACACTCTTCCCTTTTCGTCTCACCTCAAGTTAAATTAAACTGTGGCTACTGTTTCGATGCCGCAGCCGGTAGTTTCTTCATCCAGCCATTAGTTCATGCGGCTTCAGCTTCGGCTCTGCTGCTGTTGTATCCGATCCCATCCCCCATCCGCATTCTGACTTGCTGGTAGACCGATAAGAATATAAAAAAATAGAGTTTGCCGCTTTCCACTTTCACTTTAAGCGCATTTAAAACCTTCTTTCAGCGCCGCAGTGGAAGTTCGGCACGTAAGTTTCCGGTTAATCTTCCCGGTCCATAGCTGCCTTGGTTCGAGTCCATAAACTGCAACTTGTCGTGCGGGTTCCGGGGTTTGAACAGAGGGGAAGGACGGCACCAGTTTACCCGCCTCGCAGTTGGCTTTACTGGTTAGCGTGCTAATACAAGGGCCGCCCCTAAACCTGAATATTGACACTCTGCCCCTGTTTGCTCCCTGAGTTATTATCTCAGCCGCCACGGGTCCAAGTACACCTGACTGCACGGATAAAGACACAATAAACCCTTCATTACTGTACTTTCTCATAACGTTATGGGACGTGCGAAAACACAAAAAAGAACAAGTGCAACAGAAGCCGAAATATCGCGTCATTTACTAACAAGCGTGAGCGCCAACTTACGAATTCCTACATTTCCCACAATGCAACCCGTCAAAAAAAAGTGTTTCCTGGATGACGCACGTGCACACCAAGTGGATTGAAAATGACTATTCACCTAAACCAGCGACGAGTTTACAGCTGGGACAAAAAAACAAAACATAAATAAATAAAAGATGCCCAATATGTGTTATTAATTACACTAAATTTTAGGTCAAGACCTGTTAAGTTAAAAGAGAAATAGTGATGTATTCTAAATGAGTCACAATGACTAATTATTATTATTTATTGACTTATTGTCCATCTCAAAAGCTTCAAAATAATAAGTAGTTTGTGGAAATTTGGTAATATATCACCTGACCTGCAAAAAACCTTTGTTTACAAAGTGTTTCATTATCAAGACCAACTTGAATTTTATAGTTGGGTTTCAGTCACGTGGTTTCGAAGGCGGAGCATCTCCACTGGAGGGCAGGGGGTAAAATGTCTATGGTGGAACTACTGTAGAGAGTTTATATTGTATGGATTTAGATCCTATTTCAAGATACTGTATACTGTATAACAACAATTTGTTCACAAATATGTCAGCCGTATGATGAAGACGAATGAGTTTTCGAAAGTACCTAAAGATTTGCTGAGGCTGTCGATACCACACACATCTTACATCACCAAGTGCCAAATAATAATCATCAATAGTTTTTCTGATGAATAATTCCGCACGATTCTGCCCAACTTTGTGAAGCACTGAAGATTATCACACAAAGATGAAAAATGTAGAAAGCTCACAGAAAGACAACGTAAAAAGTGGATTTTAAACTGTCTGCGGTGCTGTCAGGAGGAGCAGGATGTGTCTGCAGTGATCACTTCATTCAGAGGTATGTTAACTGCTAACTATGAAATATAGTTTTACAAATATAATCAATTTAATAAATTTCGGATATCTCATAGCTCACTTCCGATCTCACTCTCTCCATCGCTGCCGAACTCTATTCAACTTTCGCCTCTTTTTATTTTCATCCTCCAGTAGATTTTTTGCCACTTGTCTGATATTTTCAGGCTTCAGTCAGAAAGGAGTTTGGGGGGTTTATGTTTGTTCGGTGGGGTGGGAGTGACACCAGAGGGTGGAATGAGGTGTTTTTCCCCCCATGAATCAGCCCTCTTTTGCATCCTCCTGCTGCAACATGCTTCAAATATGATGAACAAAAGAGCCATACATTTTTAAAATTTATTATATAATTTAATCAGTGTATAATTATTTATTATTGATTCAGTTAGAATGATTGGAGCACTCGTAAACTACACAAGATAGCAGATCCTCCACTTTTTCCACTTCCTGACCTCCAGCCGAACTTTGTGCTCTCGTGGCACTGCATCTTGACGTCATGTGAAACCCTCCTATTGGTCTAGAATGATGTCATCAGGAATTCCAGCCTTAAGGGGAATGAATTACCAGCATGGGTCACATTTCTGTGTCAAAAGTCAGTTGACTGTGGCAGCCATCTTAAATTAGATTGACTCCAAAAGTTGACTGGTTGTAGTGGAACATCCCCTGATTACTTCCTGAAAGTTTAATTGAAATCCATCCAGTGATTCATGAGATATTTTGCTAACAAACACAGTTGACTCCAAATACATAGTTAATGGCAACATTTTAGACAAAGACCTTTTGCAATCTGTCAATGCTCTAAATATATGTTGGGGATCAATGTCATCTACTAGAACACTATGTTTTAGATCAATATCTGTAAAAAAAGTTACAGCCAGTTTTTTTTAAGGTCAGTTAGATGTAGTTGGCTGTGGCAACCATTTTGAACATGGATGACTCCAAAAGTTAATCTGCTGTAGATGTACATCCAATGCTTACTTTCTGTAAACTTCATTAAAATATGTCCAGTGGTTGATAAGCTGTTTTGATAATAGACAGACACATGAGCACACATGCACACACCCAGCTTCATCCAAAAATATTATTATCACCTTCGTCTTTCAGATACGATCGACAAAAACAAACCGCTGAGACAACTAAAATACTTTTCAGACACACTGACACATTATAAAAGCCCAACTATATATTTATTAATTCAACGTAAAATTCCAAAATCAAACTTGAGAATATTAAACAATTTAATACATCTGTGGTAGCCTAAAAACTTATTTATTTATTTATTTATTTATTTATTTATTTATTTATTTATTTACTTACAAAAGTTCTTATCCAAAGACAGATAGGTTAATACATCCAAATAGAAGGGAGAAAGTAAATCAGACTATTGAATATATGGGACTGATGTTTATTCACTAAATACAAAGATTAAGAAACATCAATTGAAATGCAGCGGGGTTGATCTTAAAATAATCTGCAGAGCATGTGATATATAAGACTGCATGTTAATAATAATACTTTGCCAAATTAAAAGTTTAAAAACAATATTAGATCAAATAATGTTGACGTGCTCATATTTTCATTGTTTTCTTTTTTTAACTGGTAAAACAGAAAAAAGTCAGGGTCACAAAGAAATTATCAGTGGCCCCTTTTCTGGCCATCTGTTTCAGTTTTTTCTGAAGGTGTCCCTGAATATTAGGAGGTGTTTAAAAACTCAGAGGGACTACTAAAACCCCAAAATCACAAACTGTCAGCTACGTTTAGTGATTAATTGCAGATATGGTTGTGTATTTCAACTACTAAAGGTAGGTTGTCCAGTATCAGTCAATGCTATGTTCACTGAGAAGCGCTGTAAAAATCTTGTTTTAAGTAATTATCAAATTATCACCAAAGCAAATATGTATCAAGCAATTAGAGAGACCAGAAAACTAATTTAGGTAATAACTTGGTTCACTACAAATGGTTTAAAAAACACATTCATGATAAAATATAATATATTCCTATGTGACAGGAGACAGTAAGGTCTTACCTTCAGGCCTGTACTGAGCAATGATGGTGACAGTTTGTCCAGCTCTCTTCAGTGCTGCAGCCGCCTGCTCATGTGTAGCATTCCTAAGGTTTACTCCATTTACCTGCAAATAATCAGGACGATTTAGTGAAGAAGTCACAAAATCAGAAAACAAGTGTAGCTGCGTTTAATTTCATTCAAACATTTTGAGTAAGATTTGCCTTTTTAGGAGAACGTTTAACATTAATACCGTATGACTTGTTTTTCCGACGGGCAGCTTTGCATAAAATTTCCAAATTTAACGTTTACTCATTTGTCCATCTTTTTTGGACAAAGAGCAGCATTAAAATAAAAAAGAGGCAGCACTGGATTTTAAACAGACAGCGGCTTAGCTCCCTCAGAGTTGTTATGGAGTTAATGTCTTGCTCAAGGACGTTTCTGTGTGGGCAGGTGTTTGCAGGCTTTCCAAACACCAGGCCACCTTCAGTTTTATCATCATTATTCTGACAGCGGGAGCTGGCTGAAAAACCCGCTGCCTCAGACTTGTTACAGTCGTGGATGTGGGCAAACAGGAGGCCTGAAGTTGAAATACTGACTGAGAGAATCCGGTCGCCCCTCCTCAGCTCGCCGCTCAGGTCAGCCGGCCCTCCAGCCAAGATGAAGGAGACGAAAATCCCCTCCCCATCCTCCCCGCCGACGATGTTGAAGCCCAGGCCGGTGGAGCCCTTGTGCAACACCACCTTCCTCGGCTCCCTGCCAAAAGGAGAGACGGCGTCAGGATGAAGGGCAGGACAGGACAGGGGTCATCACAGCACAGTGAGATGACCGGAGCTGTAATATAGAAATTGTTATGAACAGGAACATTTTCAGATGGCCATCTTCGGTTCGGACTGTTTATCATACCAAAAGGTTTAGTACGCTCAGTTTAGGCAGCTACAAACAGCCGGCCTGCCTCATATTTCAAAGTGAGTGCTTTAAATAAACAGTTAAAATGATTTAGGCAGAGAACACCACACAATGACAGAAAACAATAATTAGCCATGAAATTAGTATGAAATAATCATAACGCCAGCACAGTGGCATGCAAAGGCTTGCCTGAGTCAAAATGGGATACTGTAAATACTTAGATTTAGCAAAAAAAACATTTTTACCTCAACATTTTAAGCAGAGTATAATATTTTAAATTTGAACAATCTATATTAAAAACAGAAAAGTAACAATTAAAAAGATGTTACAACAGCTTTAAATCAATAAATCATTAACACAAGGAGAATTTTAAGGCTTGTTTGATATTCTCACTCCTCAGCTGTCTCTTCTAAAAACTTTGTAGCACTCTAAACACCAAGAGAACCGTGGACACACATTAACATCCAGTCAGATCAGAGCACAACAACAGGCCACCTCCTCATGCTCTGCTTCAGCCACTATGACTCATCCTCCAGCAGGCTGTTCAGACTGCCTCAGCTTAAAGGTGCTCGAGAGGCCAAACCGCTGCCTCAGTACAGTAAAACCCCTCTGTGAACACACTTCACACACATGCAAACACACACTCAAGAACAGTTATTGCACACACGCACTTATACTTCCAGTGGATATCTGTAGATTAACATCTATTGTTCTGCACAAAAACACACAATTTCCTTTGGGGAAAAAAGAGACACAGCATGTCTTCTATTAGTGGTCTTCTCTGGCACTACTTAGCCTGCGGTCTACAGGAACAATTACTTCACATTCCCTAATGGCTGCACTCAAACTAGTTGTTAAGGCAGTTTTCCCATAGAGGAAACTTTCCAGGCTTTCGGAGACCCTGGTACCTGCAGCCTATGGAAAAACAAAACGGTATCTACAACAAGAAAATCTACTCGTGCTGATTAAAAAACTTCAGAAGTTACAAGATACGTAAAGCTGAAAAACAATTCTTTATGAGACACGTACTGAAGTAGTATTTCTGAAAACAAGGTTCAAGGAACAGTTAAAAAACAAACTGTAGACAGTCTTCTTCTCTTCTATAATATTGTGAAAGATTAGAGAAACTAATAAAAATGATGAGCAGTAATTGCCACAAGCATGCTAAAACAACTGATGTGCCTCCAGTTAACCCAGGCTTTAAATAACCTTGGTTTCCATTTTGAGCTTTTCTTCTCGGCTTCACATGGCACGCACCGTCTCCATGGTTACCTTACGATCCAGATCCGGTGCTTGCTTCTGAAAGAGCATTTCCTCCCGGTGTTCTGAGGCAGACTCCTCAGCAGTGGCACGGAGGATGAGATGTTCACCGTGAACATGCTGGCTGTGGCATATTGCTGGGCTCAGCGTTACTCCGGGACCCCTCGGTCTAACTGACCTTCCACAGAGAGGTGGGGTCTGATTTGAGACATCCTTGAGTTGCCTATCTCATCCCATGTGTGCTGTGATGAGAAGCAGGACCTCACCCGACTGCGACAAAAGCGAAGCGACACACTTAACCCTAACGCTCCCGTGCAAATCGTTTTCTCCTGAGTTCCATTGGAAGAAGCATAAATCCCCACTTGGTCACATCTGAAATGACTGTGGCTCAAACATATCAAGGTCATCCAGAGTTTATCTCTTTCCATGCCGTGCTGTCTCCTCGTCTCTGCTGTCATGTTTTTGCAGGTTCAGCTCTTTTCGGTGCAGCAGAGCAGCATTCCTGTCTGTCAGCCGGAACCTCTGGAGACTAGGCAGACAGATTCCCAGAAGCTCCTTGTTAATTTGTAGAAGTGTAATCAGACTCATGGATGGCCTTTCGTGGCTTTGAGGCCTTTGATTTGTCAACTTCATAATCTATGACCAGGCTGCGCGCCGGACAGCAAGCTAGATTTCACGACAGGAAGATAACGTGGAATATTTTAGGAGATAACGTCTTCTTATCGTGCAACTGGGACTCTAAAGGGGCCTGTGTTTCTGTTGTGCATTTGTCCGCGAGAAGTGTCGTTTTCATGGAAAATGCCAGCAAATTCTTACAGATTTAAATGCAGGGATAAAGCCTCCGCTCTCTATCATAAGACCTGCCTCCCCCTCCCCTCAATGCCTTTTCATCCATGCCAGGAATGTAAACAGTCATGGAGCAGTAAAAAGCCTTTTGCTCTGCTCAGCCGTCTCTATAATTCAGAACTCGCCACCCCTCCCATGGCTGTATTTCCCCTCTGTGCTTCAGTGTGCTGACTGCGGCTGCAGCAGCTCAGTCCTGAAGCTGTGAATGGATTTCTGGGCTGCAGGGTTCAGTGGGTCGCGCTGTCTTGGACACAGCACAGTAATTGGCTCTGCTTGGCTGATTAATGGTGGACACTGTAGATGGACGCCATTTTAAACATCCAGACACTTACTATTGTGATGCTTTATCCTTCTGTATCTCAAACAGATTACATAAGCTTATATAGAGAGACAAGTATATTGTAGTCTGTCTTTCTTTTCACTGATTTAATTTGAGCCATAGATTTTTTTAGGCTGCTCTTTTTCCTTCTAATTTCACCAGGACATATTTTTTCACCACTAACGTGGCAGCTTAAACTACATCCCTCTTTCTGTGACTCAGAAAAAAAAGATTTAAGTATAAAAGAATAATGAACACCAATGTTGTGTACTCAGATGAATCTCCTGCTGCTGGTTTTATTTGAAACTCCTCTCTGCGCTTCAGTCTTTGAAACTTTGACCAAAGGTCAAAGCATCACAAACGACTGAATTCTTACCCTGGCCAGTTAAAGGTTCTGTAAGTTTCAATAGAACAGTGAGTTACTGATTAGCTCACTTGCTGCTGCAAAAGTGAGGCTTCTGTGTTCACAAAAGCACGTTCACTAAAGTGCAGTACGTTTTTGTGCACTCGAAGTGATGAAAGGATACTTTCAGACGTTATGCTTGTGAAATCAAAGTAAACTTATCTTAAAATGTGAAATTTTGTATTCAGTGTGACTGCAGCCACACTTGTCCTTGGTGCACACAAACAAAGCTCAGGGTGATTTGTTCCAGCATTCAACTATTTAATGTTTTGAAGGTCTCCCTCTTTTTTATGTTAATTCCGGTTTCGTTTTGTGAGCAGTCTTTGTGATGCGAGATTGAATGGAGCACAGAACAGAAGTTTCTCCTCAATGACGCAGCTTGATAAAAATCAGAAGTTCTAAAGTTTTCAAAACATTTGGGCAGAACTGTATACAGATTCTGCTGCAGAGCTCGATAGCACTAACAGGTGGGAGCTGCTTGAGTGCATTGTCACCACTGCACATCTGCATGTTTACACCAAACATGCATTTTAAATACAGGCTTTATCTCTCGTCAAGGCAAATGTTGGCACAAGTAAGAAAGGGGGTTATATCAGATGGATAAAGTGGAGGGGCATGTGTCTTTGCTGACACCACGGAGGGGAGGTATGGCCGATATAAGCACCGACTCATTTCTCACAACCATCCAGCTCTACTTCTATAGAATCCCAGGCTTGATGTAGCATCCATCTAAAATAACATTACAAGTTGAAGCTAACGGCTAATGAGAATGGAATCTGCCTATTAGCTTCTTAGCGCTTAGAGGCGCATCTGTTATGACAGGGATCAAGTTGTCAGCCACGATGTCCCCTGAGACAAAGTCAATAATTTCTGATCATGCAGTCGACCCGACACAAAAACACACTGGGCGCAAACAGGTGCAAGCATGGTCACCAGTGTGGGGAGCGATTTCAGAGGGTTTACGAGGTGTGTGGCGTGTTGGGTGTAGGTGCGGGTGGCTATGTCCCAGTGTCATAACTGTACGCTGCTCTTAAAGTCTGTGTTTATGCTCGTTTGTCAGCACGCTGTAAGCAAATGTCTCTTTGTACAGTATGCATGTGTGATTGGTGCTGGCAGTAAGGGTGATGAGAGGGGTAAGACCAGAGTGCATGGCCCGAGTTTTTTTTCCCAGCGTGCTGATGAATCATGACAGCTGCAGGATTGTCTTCTGCTGCTGTTGGTCTGCTGGCTTGCATCGCATTTATGGTAACAGCAAGACTGTTTAGACCTACATAAATCAGAAAGCAAGATGCTCTAACGTTGCTTCGTGGAGGGTGGCCGCACCACCCTCCATTGTTTCCTTTATTTTAAACCAAACTCTATCTTCTCACACGTCCTTAGGAAAACACTCATTGGAATCAGAGCATATATGTTATGCAATATATGCTAAATTTAACACAAGCAATGGCTCACACAGAAACAGTCAAGCATTCATCCATGTGGTGATGCACAATGAACATGACTGTGGAGGAAAAAAATCAAAATGCAGGGGGCCTTTAGCACATTTGATGATGCCAAATAGAAAATAACCCACAAGCTACTGCCACAAATATAAAAACTAGTGAAACTCTGTTTTATCAATGCTTCCTGACAGATGGAATTGGGCAGTTTGTGGGAGCGTGAAGCCCTTTCGGCTGCTCTCCTGTGGTGATGGTTTTGTAAAGTGCAGGTACAGCTCCATTTTACAGCTTGAAATTCAAAGATATGAACAAATTGTTTGAAAAGTGGCGGACGAATAATAGCTCAATAGGTTTTATGTGAAACTGAAATGTAGAGCAAGACATCCACACAGGTCAACAGCAAGAAATAATAACCAGGTAATTTCTTTCAAATCTGATCCTCCTAAATTTGCTACTGCATTCAAACTTTCTTTCAGATTTCATGTGGGCTCACGAAAGACATCACAGCAGCTGAATATGCTGAATGTGTTTAGCATTTTAGCGTCCAAGACATGAATGTCATGCCATTATTAAGCTTTCAGTTATTTCTTTAACTGTTCTTTCATTGACCGAATTACTTGTCAACATCTTAAAATAAAAAAGGAATGTCAGTTTTTTTTAATATTCAACACCAACCTATAATGTCAAGTCAGAGATCATGACAATCTCATATGTTTTTTAGTTTATGCACCTGCGACCTCATAACTTTAATGATTACAACCTATAATAGCGAGTAGATTCTTTGATTTGTCTGACAACTATCACTGAATTGCTCAAGAAATGTTTCAATGTGAAAGTTCACAAGAGTCAGTACAAATCTGAAGGGCAAAAAGACCAGATTTACACAAATCAGGATTGTTTCCTGGACTCATTTATATTCAGCTGCAGATTTAAAGCCTGAACTGTCAACATCTGCTGATAGAAATGGATTTCTGACTAAACAGGAGCAACTCATCACAGCGTAAGTCTGAAATAAACAAAAACGGCTGGAACGTTAATGTCGCTGCCTGTCTGCAGTAGGGTCAGTGATAAACTACAGGGGCTTTTTTCTTGTTACAATGTAAAAAAAAGGAACAATTCTCCCTATTTATTTTCACCACAGATGGACAATGCAAATTTAAATAGTTAAATGTTTTTTCTTAATGATTTGAGAGACTGTGTTTTTAATGTCATTATTTTATCTAACAACAAATAAACTGAACCTGCTGGTGAAATGTTCGATGATCAGTAGAAACAGACAGAGCTGTTTGACCACATCAAATATCAAAGGCCCTGTAACTGTTTCACACAGCAGTGTTGGTTTTACTTTATGACCTTATTAGGTTACAAGTGAAAAATGATAAGCAGTAAAAAAAAAGGCATTTGATCAACATCCAACTTGCTATGGCAAGTTAAACCGAGTGTGTATTTCCTAAACTAATGTTTTATTTTAGTTTGCTCCAGAAAAAAAGACATATCAAAGAAACAACTGAAAGCTCAGACTCGCCGTGATAATCGTCCATGAAATGTGCACATAAATTTATAACACAAACTATATTTTATGTTAAGAGTTTGTTGCACAATACAAGAGGAACTAACACACTTTATACCAGAATAAAGCAGCCAAAAACATATGAGGTGAGGGAACATTTACATGCAAACAGAAAAACAAAAACTAAAAGAAGAAATCACAAATGTCACCCCTCCAACCCTCCCCTCTCCTTCACTTCTTGATGATCCTATGACCTAAATAACTCTTTTTATGTTAACATCTGCACAATTGAGACACTGTAACCTGGTAGTTGGGTAGGAATTCTCCGTCCTGTCCGTGGCCAGATCTAGATTCTGAGCTACAGAGAGGAGGGTTAGCTAAGCAAGGCAAGATGGACTAGGTTAGTACCTGCTAGAGAAGGGGAGTGGACCTTGGCACAAGGGAGCGGGGGAAGGAGAGAAGCCTCTGTAGAGGGCCTGGGGTGCCTTGCTATCCCCAGGTTTGTGGATGACACTGTAAATAGGTTCAGCCCTGCTGTGGGGTACAGGAATCACAGTGAACTGGACAAGTGTAGGACACACAAAAAAGAAGCACACATACCAACAAAGATGCAACAAATGCACATACAAGTCATGTGGACTGCTTGTACAAGGACATTACAGGGCAACATAAACACTCACACGCACACCAGTAAACAGAAAAATATGGGCTTCTTTCCTCAGAGCTGCAAATTAAGCTGACTCAAAGTCCCATGGGACGGTCCAATCAAGTCCCCATGAATGCTACTTCTGATCCACTACTTAGACAGGAAGTCAGAGGTTAAAATATCCCATCACAAAACATACAAGACATGACAAGGAGCCTCTCTCAGCACACAACCGCCATACACTGTCCAGCATTGTTGATGTGCACACCACCCCGGCCCCACTGAGCTGACATTTGTAAATTAAACATTTTTCCTTGTCTAACACAACATGAGGGTACTTAAAACTACTTTACACGCATGTATCATCAAAATCACCATGACAATACATGTAAATAAGCAACAAAATGCAGGATAATGGCAACTTAACCAAACCAAAACCCCTTTCTAAAGATATAATTTAGCCCCCAAACAAGTTTGCTCCACAGCCATGTTTCAATAACTACAACAGCCGATCTCCACAAGCAGACACACCTATGATTTGTTCAGACCTGCACTCAGAGAGCAGTGTGACTGGGATTTGTAG